TATAAATCTATGCATAGATTTATACTTGCCTGAATATGAGAATTAGACCAATCACTCCTGATGTATGCTCATCAACTTACACTCCGGCTTATTCTGCAGTGAATCCAAAACCTTCCTGTTGATAGAAACATTTGTTCATAAGACTTGGCTTTTTAACCAACAAATTACAGATTGTTTGAGCAAAAGAAAAGATTTAACTGACAAGACTGGACTGGAATTAACTATAATTAAGTTATACCATCTAAGCGTAAAAACACTTTTACTAACACTTTCTATTCACACTTTTCAAAATTAGTCCTATAAAACACAATCGCTGGTGGCAACAGGTGCTTTAGGGTTAGGTAGTATGTTAGCTTAGCATAGCGACAAAACACGACAATTAATGAGATTACTACAAAGTTATAGCTCTAAACTCTCTCTATTATGTCAGTCGAGTGTTTGAAAGAACAGAAACTAGGGTTACGCTAAACTATGCGATTGTTTTATTTAGTAACGATGGTTCTATTCACACTTTTCAAAATCAGTCCTATAAAACATAATCGCCGGCGGCAACAGGTGCTTTAGGGTTAGGTACTATGTTAGCTTAGCATAGCGACAAAACACGACAATTAATGAGATTACTACAATGTTATTGCTCTAAACTCTATTATGTCAGTCGAGTGTTTGAAATAACAGAAACTAGCGTTATGCTAAATTATGCGTTTGTTTTAATTTAGTAACGAGGTTAGCTAGCTAGCAGTTACAATGTTAAATAATTTCCAGTAATTTCCAATTGTGCTCAAGTTTTTACGCGAAAAACAGCTTTGTGAATCTCTGAACTATTGAAAACATTTTCGCTGAAATATCACTCGCTGTGACCGCACGCAAGTTAACTTTAAATGAGGTTATGTGATTAATATGAACGTCAATGTATAATGAGTCAAGCAAACAAGAATCAAACTATCGAAATGCACACGGACCAAAGTATTACAAATCAGAAATCTAAAACAGAAAGGCAAACTTACCTTAAACACGAGAAAATCCAGCCATGCATCTCCTCCATGACAAGCCCAACCGTCCCTCTATGATTCAAAGCGCGGGTCCAAACACGCATGCGCGGATTCAAGCGCGCTGAACTTTTAGATTAAAATGTACTCAATATTTCTAAATGTATGTGCAGTGACTATAAAACGTAAATATTACAAGTAAATATTAATAAGAGTTACTCTTCTCACACAGTTCATTAATTACATGAATTAAATGTGTACATTTTACTTAGAAAATTGTTCTCCTTGATTTGTAATATTACAAGTAGAATTTATGATGATTAATATATTTTACAACAAAACAAACTTTTTTTCAGTGTATTTTTTGACACATGTAAAGAATGTTTAAGTGAAAATGAAGTGAACCAGTAGCTTTATTTGATTTCCTGTTTGTTTTTTGAGAGTGTTGTTTCAAAAATGGATAGTAAAACCAGGTTTAAATGGTTTTGGGTTAAGATTTAACTGTGAATACAGAGATAACTTGAATATGACATCCTTATGCATAGCACCACTTCTCATAATTATCTACACTGCTCCCCTTGGTGGTGTGTTTTCAGTTTTGTGTGTCAGATATCAATTTGTAAGGTTTATACACTGATACCTGAATTGCAGTATGACTAGACTACATAGGTTTAAGCACCATGTGTAAATAAAAATACATAAAACAGTATGTTAAGATATAAGTCTTATTTTGTTTTTAAGAAAATTTGGATAGAACGTAAAATTGGATTAAATGGAGTAGATCCACAGACATCACTGGGTGATTCATTCACATCTGTTGTAGAGCTTTTCACTGTGATTGCCAATTAAAAATATATATATATATTTTTGTATGAGTATTCATACCCTTGCTATGATTCTTTGTTGAGTCCCTACGGATAGTCATGGTACTGTTTCCCTTCTGACAAAACCTTGTGTGCATGAAAAAAAGAGAAAGCATAAAAGCAGTAATGTGGAGAATGGGGGGAAATCTGCATGTGCCATTTTACAGATCTTGTCTGAGATTTGAGGCATGTAATTTGGCTTCACATTGATAGATGTCTTCATTCTGCCTTTTTTCTGCATAAATAAAGATTATGGGTTTTATGGAGTGAACCTTCTTTTTTTCCCCCTTTTTTTTTGGTGCAATAGCATATACAGCTGTGAAAATGGTTAGTAAATCTAAATCTAAAACCTTATAACATTTAAATTATTTGAAATAAACATTAACTGAAATAAAATTGAATATAAAAAAAAATAAAAATTCAGCTAGTTGTCAAGGCAATTTTTCTGACTTGTTTAACTTGATGTAGGCCTACTAAAATAAATAAAACTGAAAACAACAAAATGTTTTCCAAAAAAAAGCATATTTAAATGTATTTTATTTTAATGTGCTTTTATTGCATTTAAATTATCTAAACATCTGTTAGCAGATTATAAAATGTTTTTTATCAGTATTGGTCAACACATCTTAAAGATGTTCATAAATGTGAGCCAACAAGAGCATCAATTTGTCCACCACAAGGTGGCAGGATAGTTTTATCTTGTGGTTTTATACATGCTGTAGAGCAAGAACTTGTATTTCATATGTTCATATAAAAATTATAATATGCTAAACAAAAACGTATGTTTTTATGATCATGGAGCCATATTTAATTTCTTGACCAGCATAAACTGTTTTGCGGATGCATTTTAAAACATAAATCAGAGTGTGCAGTGACACAGCAGGCAGTGAAACTGAGCCACTCAATTCCTGTTTTCCTGTTTCCACACCATCATACTCTTGCAGCTTTAAATGAATTGTC